GCAGACATTTCTACCCACTTTTGGGGGTGGAAAAAATGCATCTTATACAGTACAATGAATGTTGCCAAAGCCCCACTCACCCACCTGCTCCCATCCTTTGGCCTATGCCTCCCAGCCATTTGCCTCCTTGCAGCGAACAGCAAACAGCCTGTTTCAGCTTCAGCACAGCCTGATTAGCACAAGCAGCTGATTGTCAGTTGGATCGGCCTCCCAACTATCAGCTATTTCAGGCTGCAGGGATTAGCATAGCCTCTTGCTGCCTCCGTGCACCCCATTTCCGGCCTCTGCATCCCATTTTTGGCCTCTGCGCAGCTTGTTTTCAGCCTCCATGCACCCCATTTTCTGCCCTTTCCAATCCCTGCCACCCAAAATGAGCTGAAAATGGGATGTGGAGGCCAAAAATGGGGCAAGTGGAGGCGGCAATAGGCTATGGCAATCCTTGCAGCCTGAAACAGCTGATAGTCAGGAGGCCTATCCAACTGACAATCAGCTGCTTGTACTATTCAGGCTGTTTGCTGCAAGGAGGCAGAGGCCAAAGAATGGGAGAAGGTGAGTGAGCGGGGCTTCGGCAACATTCAGCAACAGATTTTTTTCTCTTGTTTTCCTCCCCAAAAGCTAGGTGTGTCTTATATTTCAGAGCATCTTATACTCTGAAAAATACAGTAAGACAATCTAACATACAAAGATCTACGCTAAAATAATCAAGTTGATTCCTTCTTTATTTTCTAAGATATTGATGATTTTTCAATTTAGATCTATATTGTATATAATTTTTTGATCATTAATTTTTATAAAATTTGATTTGGAATTTCCACGTAATGATCTATTGTACAAAAAGTTTGTAGAAAAGCTAATCTTATTTAATTGGATTAATTCAATCAAGAAATGTTTAAAACTTGAAATGCTTTTAGCAATTTTTTTTTTTTTAAATTAGATGTTTATTCAAAATTTCAAAAATTTAAAATGAACTATTAATGTTAGGAATGATAGTCACCTAACAGTTGGTTGGAAATATATAAACCCGGATAGTCATTTAATACTGTTGTATCTTTAAGAGAATGCTCTAATTATGATTGGCTGAGGTTCCTCCAACGGCCATAAGATGGAGCCAGAAATCTGGTTTCTCTCTTTCTTGCATTTCCTGTTTTGCCGTTTTGCCTGATCATCGTTTTCCTTGGATTGCTGTGAGACTTGCAACTGTTAGCAAACTCTGTTTACTGAACTTTGTTTATGATACTTGACTTCGTTTTTGGATTATCCCTGAACTGATACTAACTACTTTAACCGCGTATGATTTGGACTGTTTGTTGGACTTTGTTTACTCGTTTACTGGAAGTAAAACTTACATTTTACAATTCAATGTATCTGTATGCTGGTTGTGTGTTATTCAACATCACTCTCACTACGTTTCCCTGAGTGCACTCATTCTCCTAACGGGGAATACCTCAACAATTCCTCACACATTCAAGAATGCTACATATCTGCTGGATTATCAGGAGACATGTACCTGTGTTCCTGCTCTCTTAGTGTTAGGAGTTCATGGACTTGTTCCACCTTTTCTTTTTGTTGCTGAAGACATATTCGAAGTAACTGTACTTCTCTCTCAGCTGCTGATGCTTTAAGTTCTGCAGTTTGAATTCTTTTCATCTGCGATGTTTGAAGTAACAGCAAGAGAAACAATCACAATTTCAAAGCTTGATAGCACAAGCAGATGTCCTTGAGCAATAATAAGTTTTCCCATGGTACGATTAACAAATGTTAGGGTATTTTTTTAAATTTCGCAAATTATTACCTGGGTTTCAGTATAAAATACAATACACAAGTATTATACAGTAACTTTTGACACTGTGGAAGCAATAATTTAAAGTTTTTGGACTGAGTCAGCAGAGCTGTTTTGATCCAATATCAAAACACAAACACTATTGACTCTTATCATGCTGATGAACTTATCTTAAAACATGTTCCAAAAATCAATACATGTAATTAATTTGACCATATTCAAGGAAGAACAGAGCTATTCTTTATATATCAAATAAAGTTCTGATCATATTAAAAAAAAAATTCAAAAAGCAAAGAAACGTTTAACTGCAATATTAAAATGATCTTTTGTTATATTCAGAACCAACCACTCTACCTCTGAAGCTTGCTGCTGTGCTTTTTGTGACTCCAGCTTGGAGAGAGCTTCTTCTAAAGCACGGAGAGCCTTTTGCTGATCCTCTTCTTTTTGTTTGGACCGTTCTAGCTCCTTACCAAGTTTTTCAGCTTCATCTTTCAGTTGCCGAATATCAGCCTGAAGTCTTGTCTTTGCATTTCGTTCTTTCAAAATCAGCTCCCTTAGCCTGAGAAACATGTATGTGGATGGTGTATTTATTTACTTATCTATATCCCACTTTATTATTTTTAGAAATAACTCAAGGTGATGAACATATCCAACACACTTTCCTCCCATTTTCCCCACAACTTCATTATTTTACTCCAAAATGTTATTTAAACTTCCAACTGAACAAATGAGGAGATGTCAGATATCACAATTTAAAACTGATGTATCCAATCCAAGGCCCACCTATGGCCCTGGATAGCTGGTAAAGTGCCCCACAAGATAATAAAAGATATAAAAATAAATTTTGTTATTTAGTACATTAACTATATTATTATATATTAACTATATTATTACATATATTTTATATGCAACCCCAGATAATTCTGTACACTCAATGCAGTTCAGTCAAGCCAAAAGGTTGGACAGTCATGATTTAGACATACATCTTCCTATATCTTGTGTTTACAGTTTAGGATATCCAAGCAGTTAGTATCCTCTAGATGTGTCAGGACTACAGCTCCTAGATTTCACATACAAAAGACCGTACTACTGTACTACTACTACTACTACCTTACTATACTTCTATGCTGTCCAACTCCCAATGACTTTGGATGGCTCATAACAATCAAAACAAATAAATTATGATAAAACCAATAAAATGAAAAAGAAGGAAAAAGATGGCAGGGATGATAGATTGGATGGAAACGAAGACCTGACCAATAACTCTTTGAAACAAAATCAGAACATGGGCCATCCAGATCTCGGAGAAAACCTCACTGCAAAGGATAGGCATTACCATAGTGTAAGGGCAGTTCCAGGATCCTTGTATATTACATAGGTTTAATCGAAGGTACCTGGGGTTTACAGTAGCAACCCTGCAAGATCAAATTGGCCAGGGAGTTACTTTCAAATCAAGTAAGTTCTATGGCTCAGAATTAACTCGCTCTGCCATTCCTAGGCCACTTTCTTACCTAGGTAATATCCAACAAATTTACAGAAAAAAATACCCCAAAAATGTCACTTTAGACCTTAGAAACTCTATAATCTGAAAGATATAGTGAGTTCAACTAATTTGCTAATCTACTGTGTTTCTCATATAATAAGGCAAGGTCTTATTTTTTTTTTGAGCCCCGAAAAAATGGCTTGGCCATCTTTTCAGGGGTGACTTAATTCGCCCCCTTGCATCCTCGGGTGGGCGGCGACGGCTTGGATGTTGACCTCGGCGTTGGTGGGGCACTTCGTATTGGGGTCAACACAGGCAGCACCATACCCGGGTGTGCAACAAAAGTACTTCCTAATGGCAAGTCCCCCCACCATTCCCCCCATTTCACACGTTTTAATATAGGCCTTAATTGGGGGGAGGGGCTTCATTTCATGCCTATAAAACATGCTGGGACTTCCTATTGGGGGAGGCCGTATTGTTGGAGAAACAGGGTATATATAACCACAAGAACTGATATTTACTGTTTTCAAGAGCTTAAGAATGCCAATAATGAACAAATTCTTTCCATGTAAATTGCAACTGTACATTGTTAACACAAAAGAAATTATAGAGTATACAAATACTCACCTATCTGTAGTGTAAACAGCTAGGCTTTGAATATCTTTTTCTTCTTTGGCCTGGTTCTGCAGCTGCTTAATGCTTTCACTCAGTTTCTTTTCAGCTTGTTCAGCTTTCCATCGCTTCTCTCTCTCCTGATCTAATTCTTGAATTAGTACCTAAATAAGAAGAAAATGTCTTTTTCTGAAACAAACTAGTAACACATCAAAAGTCCCTTGCCTATTACAACAAAAGCTATCCCAATTTTATTTTAAAATTTATATCAATACTACACAGCAAACTGAAAATTTATCAGGCACATATCACTTCAGAATAATAAACATATCTACCCTGTAAGTGAATTCTTCTTGAATACCAGTATCCACATTTAGTTTTTTCAGTTGACTTTTCGGTCCACCCAGTTTTTCCGGTGTTTCCCCCACTACTTTCAAACTTGCAATTTCTGAAGCTGGGCTTGAACTTTGTCCCTCTTTGATGTGGGATTTTTGAAATTTAGACTTGATGAAATCTTTCTCTTGTTCTCTAATGTGAAACAAAAATTGAATTCGCATACACGAATGTATAAAAGCTTGTCAGAATATCAAGTGGGTATCATTTAAAGGGCCTCAAAGTAATTAGAAGGGTATTAAAAGCTATGAAACTATCCCACAGGTAAATTTCTGCAAACAATCATCCTTTCTACAGTTTCTAAAAATATACCTCTGAACTAGTTTTTTAGGCAGTAAATAAAATGAACCCAAAATTTTAGATTCATTTTCAGCAGCTACATTTGAGTTTTAACTTTGTTATCCAAGTCAGAAGAGAAAATAGAAATTATTTATGTCAAAGATGAGCTCCATTACCATTAAGCTTCACTATTAATTAGTCTTTATTTTCATGAAAACCAGGCTACGTTCAATTCTGCAGATTACTTATCTTCATAAAAGAGTAACAGACTACATGTGAATATGAAAGCACTGATAACTGAATTAAGACTAAGATATCATACCTGGCTGACAGTTTGCCCCTTTGAGAACGGAGCTTGGTTGATAAAGTGTTTTTCCGATAATTAGGCAACTTGCTTCTTTTAGTAGCTTTTCTATTCTCTTTTCCACTTTCACTACCACTCTCTGAGGTAAAATCTGTTTCTTTTTTGGCTTTCACAGTCACATCAGCTTTTGAAGAATTAGTAACCTGAAAATAAACAAATATGTTAATTAGGAATCTGGTCTGTTCAGTTTTTTGCTGTTGTTTCCTTTGCTGATCCAGGAAAAAAGGTCATTAATATGTTGTTAGAAATTAAAAATACATTGAAAAACAAACACTAAGAATTCCATTATTAATGTAACAACCCAATCTCCCACAAGAGCTAAGAACATTATTCAGACAAGTACAAACAATCAGAACTCCAGACAAAGGGACTTCCGGTTTGAGCTTCTTCAGCGACAGACTGAAACCTCGTCTCTGCGAGTCTTCGATCCGTGCTCGCCGCTGGAGCGCCCCGAGCCAGCTGGTTTCGGGGCTAAGCCACCCCGTAGAGGTGGTGAAGAGGGGGGAGACTGCCAGCAGGGTTGGAAAGAGCCGCATCTCTCCTCCCCAGCTGGCCATTACTCCCTTTCCTGAAGGCGGTTGCAGCGGTGGTCAGAAATGGCCACCACAAAGAAGAACTTGACCGGAAAAGAATGTGCAGGAGGAAGATAAGAAGAGAAAGTTTTGGTTGACTGGGTCAAACAGCAAAAGCAACAAATAAGGTAACCTGGAATTGAAACTGTTAAAAAACAATAACATTGTTCCCTAAGAACATTTTTAAGCTGCGAAGGAGAGAGAAAAGGGAAAAGATTTGGTTTTCTCCTTTTCCTATACTGACAGCTAAGAGACTTAAGGAAGAAATTGGAAAAAATCCACTTTGACATTAATAAGCATTTAATGCTGAAAATAAAAAGTCAAAGGGATAATAAAGATATCTGGATAATTAAAAGCTTTTGAAAACAGGAAAGGAGAGAGGACGAATAAAAGGGCAGGATATGGAAGGGAGGAGACTGCCTGGAATTAAAAAAGAACTTACAGCAAAATCTCAACAAGACTTCCAAAAGATACATTCTAACTGAAATATCGCAACAAAAACCCCAGGAAGAGAAAGTCAAAAAAGAAATAAGAAGATATAACTCGGGACTATCTGGATTACTTGATGATTTCTGGATTCTTGGTTATTGTTTTGAATGACTAAAATCAATTGGGTGGTTGTTTAAAACTTTTTAAAATGGCTCCACTTTTAGAAGAACTGAGAATGGAACTTAAAAAGTACAAATATGCACAAGAAGGGAGAGATTCTTTTGGCTTCGTATTTCAGTTTTTAGAAATGGAGATTTGGAATTATGAGAAACAACAAGAAATGCCTGCAGAACAAGAAGATTGTGACAAAGAAGCCATCTTTAATGAACAAGTAATCTTAGATGGGGGAAAAAAGGGAAAGGGGAGAAAGAGAATGGAAAGTTTAAGATTGGGAAAAACCACTCCAAAAAAAATAGAGTGAAAAATAAGTATAAAATCAGAAAGCAACAGAAGAGGGAAATGCAGAAGAGAGAATTAGAACTAGAGACAAGGGGGTAAAAAGGGGAGGGAGAAGATGACAGGGAAGAAAGAAAGGAAAAGAAGTTATAAAGGACAGAAGCAAAATATAGAGAAACGGGGTCTATTTAGAGATAATGGGTGAAAACTTAATGGAAAAAGGGATTCTGCAAAGGTACATAAGATAGTATGGTTATATTAGAAGCAGAAATAATTTTAGAAAATATGAAACAATGTATGATTAAAATGTCTGATAAAATAGCTATCGTAATTCAGTGGAATGCTTGTCAATAAATAAATGTAACAAAAGGTATATTTAATGATTTATAAAACGTATGTGAAGATAAGGGAAAAATTAATTATGGAGATTATATATGTTTTTAAGGAAGTATGATATTTAATTGAAAAGAAGTGTTAAAGATGTTATGGTTTTAATGATTATTATTTTAATGATAGAACTGAACTCAAATGGAATGAGAGTTTATAATTACATATCTTTACAATCTTTCTTTTTTTTTTAAATAATATAGTGTGTATTATAAGAATGTGCCAAGCAGAATTCGATTGGAAGTTATGTATTATATATTATATTGAAGGTCATAAATTTAAGGTATATATTGAAGTTTAAATAAGAGTTGAATGGATGTAATTAAAAGATATAAAGGTGTCATACACCAATTAGTAACTACAGGAGAAAATTTGTTTAATGAGAAAAGATAATATGAAATTGAAACAGAACAGATAAAAGTATAAATATAATGATTTGAATTGAGATGAGATAATCAAAATAAAATTGAGAAAATTAAAAGAGGGGAAAAACTATATAGAAAATGTAAAATAGTATAAGATATGGAATAGAATACAAAAAGGAGCATGAAATTGAGTTTTGTGTCTGTATAAAGAAGTTCAACCTGGTACCATGCTATTTTCAAAAAAGATGTTTTACTTGTATTTTGTGTGTGAAAACCCAAATAAAACTTTATTAAAAAAAAAAAAACTCCGGACAAAGGAACAGCTACCTATACAAGATCTTTCAACAAAATGGACACCACACAATCAAAAATTACAGCTTAACCCTGAGCTGCATGTATTTTCTTCTATTGGAATAAGATGCAAATGAAAATATACCCAAAAACATTTCTCAAGCTAATCTAAAAAACATTAAAAGTTATTACCTTTTGCAGGAGGTGAGATATCTGTTCTTCTAGTCTTTTTATCCTTGAGTCATTATCAAATTTAATTTTTTCTGGCTCAAAAGATGACATTATTTCAGTGGAAGAGCTAGTGGTAGTCCAAGGTGACATCTTTGCCCTCTGGCGAAACCGGGCTAATACTTGATCAATACGTGGTGTTATTATTGGCAAATTGACATAAGTCTATTTAAAAAATTAAAAATTCTAAGTCAAACAGAGAGAAGTTCAAACTAACTTTATAGACTTCAAATAAAAGCAAAAATATATTAATTTAAGCACCTCTTCTTCGTCTGTATAACTGGATGAAACTAAACAGCTTAAGAAATCTTCCAAGCACTTCAAATCAGATGAGTTTGGTTCCATTAAGTTAACTGGTTCACCAAATATATTCTTCCCATCCAAGATAGTCAGCTGAGGTAAAGCCTGAAGAAGAATCTCTCTGTAGCCTTCAGATAATAGAAGAAATTACTTTATAACTGCATTGTGAAAAGTCTTCAAATGCTTTTCCAAATTAGTTTCATTTGCACTACTAGATTTTATCCTATCCACTTAAACAATTGCAGCACTTTTACCTATTTTGGCGCACACAGGGTTACTTTTTTCATTTTTCTCCAAAGTAAGATTTGTCAAGTATTGCAGTCCACAAAGGCATTGAAGTAAATGGTTAACATTATTTACACTGTTGCTGTGAAGTTCAATATGATTAATTTTATAGTTCGGTCCTCGAAGGTGTAGAAGTCCTATAAAAAATACAAGTCAATAATAAATGTTGAAACATAAAAAAAACAATAATCTAAGCACAGTTTAATTAAAACGGGGGGGGGGGGGGCTGTTCCCTTCTTTTGTAAAGTATTCCAAATTTATTTTTGGGGAGAAATGATTGTGCCTATCTCCACAAAACAATTATGATTGCAAAGCAAGTGTTGCAAAACCAAGGAATAGAGGAGAGACAGACTAATTCAAGATGGAGATTGATTTAGGCACCAAGAATGACAATTTGCCAATGCATTATGAGATCATTACAGAGCAGGCACCATTTGGATTTTCAGTCACTCTAACAGGGAATGGCTTTGGGACAGGAAGAGCCACAGCCAGGACAAGTCAAATAAGAGGCAGCTTATGTTTCAGAAGGAATGTGGAATGGCAAGTAACTTAATTCTTGGGCTGTAAAGGCAATGGAGCGAAAATTGTCCTCTCAGACTTGCAAGATTCTGTTAATGTCACTGTACAATAAAGCTAGTACATCAGGGTGTTTCTTGCCTGGAATACCTTGTAAGGCTGAAAGCTACAGACACAAGAACACATTAAGTTAGTCCTGCTGATAAAATTGCCTTCTTCTCTAAAAGATCTAATGACCTTCAAAACTGCAGTGCCACAAACACATTCAAGGGTGTTAACATCCCTGGGCTCAAAATGGTGCCTGCATCCAGGTAATCCTAATCCTACTCTTTTTAAATTAGGCACCAAAGGCACTGCATGCACATAAAAAGACATAAGGCTTTCATCAATTATGGTTGTACCCATCATTTTGAAGCCAAGTACTGTCTCTGTGTTAGGCTCTGCGCATATGGATTTCCAAATAAGTTTTTCAGAGTCAGTAATGCTTGGGCTTGAATAGATTGAACTGAAAATCTCTTACCTGAAAGGTCATCTATACGGTTGTACGATAAATTCAGTTTAGTTAAATTATATAATTTTTCCAGCCCTAGGGAAGAGACAATTTTTAAAAAAAAATGAAAGCAACTATGTAGGCAAACAATCAGAATGAGCCCACACATATTTCTGTCTGAAATACTTCTTTTAAGACTTCTAGCCATTCTGTGAGCATTCTACCACCTCATCCAATTAGTCAGCAGAAGTAGCTTGCAGTACTGCACTCTAACCACTGCACCACAGAGGTTCCTCCTATAGCTGGTTTGGCGTTAGGCTGCCAACAAACTCAAAACATATTGGATTTTTTTTCGGGGTGGGGGGAGAGGAAGGGAGAGAGAACTGCAGCATGAACAGAGTTTTCTTGTAGCAGCAATCTGCTGATACCATTGCAAAGTCACATCTACTGCAAAGGAATCCTTACTAACTACACATCTAATCTGGAGTCCTCTTATCTCATATATTTTTATACATATTTAAATAGCCGCCCATCTCACAGTTTTGTGACTCTGGGCAACATACAATAAAAAAGTAGTGCTGAACCATTACTGTCAAATAGGTACAGGCCATTAAAAATTCTAAATCTCTATAGGCATCTTTTTAAAGGATCAAGTGTACAAACATGCTACAAATCTCCAACATTCAAGAACTGTAATTAAAGGGAGGAAAGGGAATGGGAATATGACAGGTCTTAAGAACCATTTCTATTTCAGCCTCCATTATTAAATGTGACAGAATGCTTGAGGCAGGTAAATATATCTCAGCATATTCAGAATATTCTGTGGTTGACCCAGGTTTCTATGGAGAAGCAGACAAATAATTACCATTTCTCTATTTCAGAAATATAAATTCCAGCTATTGCTGTAAAAATGGTTTCCTAATGAATTCATTTTCAAATAAATATTCAAACTTTGGAAAATTCAAGCAGGTTTCATTCTGTTTTTCTACAAGTAGTATTACCGTGTTTCCCATATAATAAGGCTGGGCCTTATTTTTTTTGAGCGCCCCAAAAACAGTGAGGCCATCTTTTCAGGGGTGACTTAATTCCCCCCCTTGCATCCTCATCTAGAGCGCCCCGCGGGCAGCCTCGCCACCAGCTGCTCCTAACGGGTGATCATGGCGAAGCGCAGAGAGCTCCCTACTCCCACCAAACACCTTTGTTGCAGACCCAAGACCTTTAGCACCCGCCACTGTTGCTTTCCCTTCTGCCCATTCCACCGTTTGGAGCTGCCACTTCCGTGTTTGGAATGCCGCTGCCATTTGGAGTGCTGCCGCCATTTGGAGCACTGCCCACCACGTTTGGAGCTGACGCTTCCGTGTTTGGAGTGCCGCTGCCATTTGGAGTGCCACCACCATTTGGAGCACCGCCGTCATGTTTGGAGTGCCACTTCTGCGTTTCGAGTTGCTGCCGTGTTTAGAGTGGCGGCAGCGCTCCAAATGGCAGTAGTGCTCCAAACACGACGGCAGCTCCAAATGCGGAAGCGGCAGCTCCAAACAGCAGCAGTGCTCCAAACAGCGGCAGCGCTCCAAATGTGGAAGCGGCAGCTCTAAACGCAGCGGCAGCTCCAAATGCAGAAGCAGCAGCTCCAAACAGCAGCGGTACTCCAAACAGCAGTGGTGCTCCAAGCGTGGAAGTGGCAGCTCCAAACGCGGCGGTGGCATGGGCAGAAGGGAAATCAACAGCAGCGGGCACTGAAGGTCTTGGGTCTGCCGCAAAGGTGCTTGGCAGGAGTAGGGAGCTCTCTGTGCTCTGCCATGATCGCCCATTAGGAGCAGCTGGTGGCGAGGAATTGCTGCCCAAGGGGCGCCCCTAACGGCAAGTCCCCCCACCCTTCCCCCTTATTTTGCATGTTTTAAAATAGGCCTAAATTCGGGGGGAGGGGCTTAATTTGATTTTATGCCAATAAAACCTGCTGGGCCTTCCTATTGGTGGAGGCCGTATTGTTGGAGAAACACGGTATGTATTTCACTAAACCTGTATTTCCCAACCTTGTCAACTTTGAGTTATATGGACCTCAATTCCCAGAATTCCCTAGCCAATATGCTGAGGGAATTCTGTGAGATGAAGTCAACACATCTTCAAAACACTGGTCTAGACATTCCCATTGGAGCAACTCCTGGAAGGGGGAATCTCCATTATTAATTATTTTGTCTGAGGATCTTCAGAAGCCATTCAGAACAGTATGAGACAGTACTGGTATCAGCAAGAGAATCAACAAAAATCCTTAGCAAGATTTCTCTATCCTAGGAATTCTGAATCTTTTTCTGTCAGGAATCCCTTTGAGAATCTGGTGAAACCTATGGACCTTGTTTCAGAAAAATGTTATTTAAATGCAACGTAAACCAATTATGCCCAAGTATGGTTACGATAATGTTAGATAAATAACAATTATATCGATATACAGTAGATACTTCTTTATTAATCAGTTAAATTTATAAAAATGTCTTTTATAAGGTGTAATTTTAAATGAGTAAACTTTTGAAGTCTAGAGATCATAAATCAGGCTGTTGCTGATTACTGATTGAAAAAAAAACAGTGAATGAAGTTTCAATTTCTGCCCCACCCATGTACAGATTCCCTGAAATTTATTTATAGACCACAGTTAAGAACCCCACTCTGCACCGAGCTTCCCAATCATGGACACTTCAAGATATGTGAACTTCCTAGAATTACCTATCCCAAGGCAATTCTAGGCCTTAAGTCAACACATCTAGTAGTTGCCAAGGTTGGGAAACATTGCTTTCTAGTTCCTTCCCACAAATGGAAGGAAACCTATATTAATGCAACATCAAGCCTTGATCTAATGACTGACCTTCAACTTTTGTTATCAAGTTGCAAGCCAAATTTAAGGTACGGAGGTTTGCAAGGCAGCTTAGACCTTCAATCCAATGTATGCGATTTGATGAGAGATCTAGATGTTCTAAGTTCAACAGGTGATCAAGACTTTCAATTCTGGCAATCAGGTTACAGTGCAAGTTGAGTGTGTGAAGTTCTGAACTTAAAGGCAGCTCTGCTAAACTACAAATGAAGGACACGTGACAAAACATTGGTTTTAACAGTATGTAGAAACTTTGAAGCACATGTAGTTTTGACTTACAAAAGTTCATTTAGTGACAATTCAAAGTTACAATGGCACTGGAAAAAGTGACTTATGACAGTTTTTCACACTTACAACCGTTGCAGCATCCTCATAAAATTCAAATGCTTGGCAATTGACTCATATTTATACTTGTAGCGTCCCAGGATCATGAGATCATCTTTTGCGACCTTCTGACAAAGTCAATGGAGAAGCCAGATTTATTTAATAATCATGTTACTAACTTAAAAGTGGCACTGATTCGCTTAACAACTGGGGCAAGAAAGGTCAGAAAATGGCATACCTCTTAACTCCTATTAAATACCAAAATTTAAGGGAAGGGACTAGGAGCGTGCCCACCCTATCCGACCCAATAGGATGAGAGTATTTGTCTTTAGAGAAAGGCAATTCTGCAGATAACTTGGCTCTGTTCCATACAGGGCTTTAAAGTGATGGGCAACACTTTGAATTGCACCTGGGAAGAAACCAGAGGCTAGTGCAACTTGTAACAAAAGTGTTTCATGAGCAAACTAGGGTACCGGCTATTGTACATGCTGTTGCATTCTGGGCCAATTGAAGTTATACATACTCTTCAAGGGCAGCCCCATGTACAGTGCATTGCAGTAATCCAAATTAATATTTAATCTGTATTAATGAATAACAATTATATCATGACTTGCAGCTGTTCATAATTTTTTCTCCACCAAAGTGAATAAATCTAATTCAATGCTATCCATGCTCTGGTAGTTGCCTGTAAATTAAATTATACCTTATGGAAAGTCTTTTTTTTTTTTTTTTTTGCACTGGATGGCCTCAATTTACTTGCCATCTTTTTCCACTTAAAAAGCCCATACGTTCCGTGGAGCATCCCTTTTAAATTTCTTCAAATAATTTAAAACACTAAATAACATTTGGCTAACAATTCGGGCTTGTTGTCTCCCAGCTTTAAAATAGGCGGGGATCGAGGAAAAAAACCCCAAAGGTGGAGCTGTGACCCCCAAAGTACCCCAGCACTTCTGCATGACACCCAAGGAAGGAGAAGGGAAAGCACCCCTAAGTGTGCAAAAATGATGCAACCTCGCAGTAGCAACACCTGAGACGGGATCTGGAAAAAGCTCAGAGACTCCCCTGTGCACGGCTTCCTCTTCCTCCCTGCAGCTTCTCACCTCTTGATGCCTTTATCCATTAGGCTGAGCTCCCCTGAAGTTGCGCAGACCTCCGCCATCCTGCTCCGCTTAGCGACCCCCTCCCCAGGCTCAACCGCGGTAATTGCCGCCCTCTGCTTTGAACCCCGCCCACCAGGCCCTCCTCGCTGTGACTGCGCCAACGGCACCGCTGAGCATGACGGGAGGAATGTGGGCTGTTCCAGGCTCGCCTTCCCTAGCGGCTGCGGTTGCGAGGCAGTCGGGCGCTGGTCCCTCTCTGCACTCCAACGGCGGAAGAGAGGGGAAAAACCGGCTAAAAGGTTTAGAAAGTGATTTGTACTTGAGGACGCATGATAGGGAAGAGTAAGGGAACGCCTGCTGTTCTACTCATTCCACAGTTGCCCGGGCGGACACTTCTGTGTACTTGACTATTTAAATGCTAAAAATAAAAACCCAGCCCGGCAATGCAGTTCCAGCCCGTGATTTTCATGATGTGAACCCGAAGTTGTCGATAAGATTGGCGATCATCATTGAGGGGAGGGGGGAGAAGGAAGGAAGGCCATCAAGGAGAAAATGTGAATGACTTTTTTGTTTGTTTGTTTTTTTGCATTTTGAGCGGCTCTTATTTATTGGGCTTGAAATCGAAAATGGTCAGCGATATGCCTCCCGTAGAGGCGAAAGGACTTCTAAGCGAGGGAAAAGGGCGAATAAAGTAGCTAACTGGGTTTGAAAATTAAGAGTTAACGTACGTTCCCAGAGATGTAAAACACAACACAAGGTTAGGCTTGTATGTGTTGGGCTGAGAGAGATTCATACGACCACTAGATGGCAGCGTAAAATTACGATACCTCTTAGTTGTGGTCTGGCGATAGCTGGGAGGTTTCAGATAGCCCTGACTTGCCAGTGCAAATATTTTGTATTTCGAATGAAACATGCCTTGATTCAGTCCAAACCAGTTTCTCTGAAAGAGCGAGAGCATTTATTTAAATCACAATCCTGAGGATTTCTTACAGCTACAATGCAAGCTATAATCTCAAGGATCAAACTTTTTTTTTTAGAATTTAATGTGTAAAACACTAATAGTACTGCACTACATAGTTGGAGGTACACCTTTTTTTCTGTTTCAGGGTTGAGATGAAATATACTGTAAGTCTAAGTGCTATTGTTATAATAAACATAATGCATAATGCACATACAATAAACTTTGCAGTGCTTTGTCGGGGAGGGGGTTTCTAATGCAATCCAATATATCTGTTGGTACTGACTTGAATATTATTGTCTGGCAGTAATGCTATCTGTGAATTCTATTTGTGTTACCAATGAAAATTGGAAAAATCTTGAAAAAGAAGGAAAACCCATGGCTCAAGGGGACCATTTAAAATGGCATTTGAAGGAGAAAAATCAAAAATGGATATGTGTACCTGTCAAATTGGAAATGGCAGAGTTAGGATTAACCACATCTCAGAAGAGTCCACAGTAAACTTCAGCAAGAGGTGTGGTAATGTCACCAATAACAAATGCCTTAACTGTGTACTTAAATTCCTGCTACAGGCACATCAAGTTGAAGCTGTTGTCTTCCTTTTCCTGCATTTCATCTTTTGCCCTTAAGATCCTTCCCAAAAGGGTTCTCCCATTTCTACTTTTCTTAGTAATTGCTAGGAGTCTGACCAGATGGTTATAATTAAATTATTTGTTCTGCAAGTCAAAGCCCAATTACAATATTTTCAGTGGGACACTTTTACCTTCTGCAGATGGTGAGAAATTATTTCATGATTTACATAGAAAATTTTTTCAAGAGCTATCACACTGCCATGGCATAAATCCTAGGTGGCATCAAAAGAGATCTAGAAAACTCTTTGATTTGCCTTCCTCTCATCTTCACTCCTTGACCAACTTAAAGGTCATCCTTAGCTGTCTGAATGTTAAATACTGTTTTCTCCCTTAAGCAGATAATGAGCTGCGGCAGCTTCACTTTGTGTCTCATTGACCATCCAGTAGGTGTTATAATCGAGGATCAGTAGGGGGTAGATCCTGCAGAATAATAGAATTACAAGTTGGAAGGGACCTTGGAGGTGTTCTAAACCAGCCCCCTGCTAAAGCAGTAGACCGTGCACCATTTTGGACAAATGGGTGTCCACTCTTCTTAAAGCCCTCCATTGTTGCTGTGTGCAGCAATTGGCGCTTCAATTAGGCACGCACAATCCTTTTCTTGGTTTTGGGGCATTGCCTTCCAAGGCCGCCTGCTTTTGGGAACGTGAGAGTTGTTCTTTCAAGCCATACTCCCTCCATTTCCTTGCCAAATCTCTGGCGATTCCCTTGCTCAGAGTCTTGATAAAAGTCTGCATGGTGAAGAGAGAGATAGAGAACCAGCCCTGGTGCTGCTTTCTGGAACCACATTCCTCATGCCTGCTTTCAAACAGGTTTGACTTTATTCTATAATCCTCGGGCTCCCTCTGAATGTGGCTGCACAAAAACAGGATGTGTTTTGTCAAATGGCTAAAAATGCCATGTTACCCATTTTCATCCCAAAGAGGGTTACTGCTAGCTACTTTTTGTCTTCCTCTTTTGGCCGTTTCTGATCTTGGAAGCTGAACAGGATCAGGTTTAGTTTATACGTAGATAGAAGGCACAGAAAAGGAACCCAAGATGTTGGCTAGTGTATGAAGTTGAACAAAAGTTGATTGCAAACCGCTTCCATATTGCTATCAAGAAAATTGCATAAACAAGTCCATTAAATAACTAGAGCTCATGCTTGACTTGAGGACTTCTTTGATTTACTTAACTGTAAATTAAGTTTATCCATCTTTTATATTCTGGAACATGATTTCAACTGCATACATTTCCTAGAATATAGTTCTACACCTCACTGTTTTGTGCTAGCTTGACAATTATGCATACATTTTCTTGCCATCTGTTGTAATTATTTTTTAAACATTAACCAAAACACAGTGTTGGCACCTCCTAAGGAAATATGGATGCTGTCTGGTAAGGCATATGTACAGATACTTGTCAGTTTCCAGAAATGGACAGAGTGCTACATCATTAATCTGAAGGACATACATGCCTCCAAAAAGGAATGCCATCTGTGATACTTCTGAATTTGTTGGGAAGCTAGCTTTCTTAATCCTGTTTGCCAATCAGCAGAAGTCAGTCTATAGATTCTGTCTGAGTCTTCTGGTTTGTTTTCATTCTAAATTGTAATAGTTTTTTACTACATAAATAATAACCAGCTGTAATTTTGAAGTCTAGTTTAAGGCAAAAATGACATTCATGACAAATTCATCATGCTATTAACAGGGTTTGTTTGGCAGGGAGGCACCATATCAATTTAATTCCAATCACTAGTAGGAAAAGGAAGTCATGGAAACTTATGGGTTGCTGAGTTGGTCAATTATGTTGTAGTTCGGTGATCAAGTCTGAGGGCCCCAAAATAAAATGTAACTTTTGATCAATCTGCTGCATTTCCTTGTATTCACTGCCCTAGTTATTCTTCCGCCTTCTTCCCAGGAGCTGGCAACTGTGAGCAGAAACACTGCTCAGTTCCTCAATTTTTATTTTAATCATTTCTACAGAATGGATGCAGAGCCTAACAAGGCACCTTGTCATTAAATCCCGCTGGTCCCTTCCTAGGGCACAGATGCATTGAGGCAAATAAAGTTAAATGGCAGACACAACAATTCACATTGTGTTGATATTTGACCTGCTTGACCCATTGGCTGTGACATCACACTCCCTTCAGCTCTTGTTTATTTGGAGTCCTACATGGCTCCAGATTCCAGTCCTAATAATGGAACTGATTTCAAATGGAAAAGGACAAGCATAACTCTTTCCATTCTTGTGTTTTCTTGGTATTTGTGAATACAGGTAGTCTCCAACTTTCAACAATTTATTTAGCGACTGTTCAAACTATCCCATCTTCTGACTTACCACAAAAAAACAAGATAGAGACTGAGACTTTTGTTGGGAGGGAAGAATACAAATAATTGAAATAATTGTGATCTGCTAGCTGCTTTCTGTCTTCCTCTTTTGGCCAGTTCAAACACTGTTCAAGTGCACTGAAAAAGGTGACTTTTTCACACTTATGACCATTGAAGCATCCCCATGGTCACGTGATTTACATTCAGATGCTTGACAATTAGTTCATATTTATGATAGTTGCAGTGTACCTAGGGTCATGTGATCATCTTTTGTGATCTTCTGACAAGTGAAGTCAATGGAGAAGCCAGATTCATTTAACAACTGTGTTATCAATTTAACAACTTGGCGTGGTTCACTTAAATGCAAAAAGAAAAATCATAAAATGGAGCAAAACACAAATGGAGTAACACATTTCTCACTTAGCAACATAAATTCTGGGCTCAATTGTGGTCGTAAGTCCAGGACTATCTGTACAGTACTTTGATTTGGTCTAAGTCAGCGATGGCGAACCTTTTGGGCTTGGTGTGTCAAAAATTTGAAAAATGCCTAACTTGACTCTGCTGGCATGTCACCCCGCCACCCTGAACAAAAGAGAAACAATTCTTTACATACTCATTTATTTAAACAAAATACAGTCCAGTCACCTGTGTGATCTCCAGAATATGTGGCAAAGTGCTTGCCTTCAGGTGGAGCTTTCTTTCTGTTGACAGGGCCCTGAGACCCACCTGAGGCAGTGTCAGGTCACATGAGGTCTTGGTTTCCTGAAACAACTTTGAAGAATGTTTTTCTGTGGCATCTGCAACCATGCAAAAGCCTGCTCCACTCTTGAATGATTTTTGGAGGGCCCGAAGCCCACACCAGAGAATGAGCCAGTGGTGGGATTCAAATAATTTTACTACCGGTTCTGTGGGGGTGGCTTGGTGGGTGTGGCAGGGGAAGGTTACTGCAAAACCCCCATTATCTTCCCATCCCATTAACCTGCTTTCCAGCTCCATTCTCCTGTGCAGAGCAACAAAAGAAGACCCAACCAATTGGGAAGCAGATAATAGATGGGGGCGGGGCCAGTCAGAAGTGGTATTTGCCAATGTTCCAAGCTACTCAAAATTTCCGCTACCGATTCTCCAGAACTGATCGGAACCTACCCACCTCTGGCATGAGCCTATCTGGAGAGTCCGGCATTCTCAGATGGATTTCAAATATCATACATAAATGCTATTAAGAATAGTTGTAGGGTATTGGTGAATGCTGGCATGTCATCCAACACATTGTGGCATGTCACTGTCAATGTGTGTCATAGGTTCTCCATCACAAGATCTAAGTTGTTCCAGGCTGAAGAATTGTGTGAACTTTCTGAAATGCCCTGATGCAAAGGTCTCTGTGGTACATAAATAAGACCTTTTTTAGATCTATTATTGCTTAAACCAAGCATGAAGAAAGACAGTCCTCCCAAAAATCTTTGTTTATGCTACATCTGTTATCTTTTACAAAAACAGCTTTTGTATTTATTTTGTATTTCATCCGAATTTTCCATCCATGTCGTCTCAAAGAACCCATTTAGGCAGAAAGGTGAAGGAAAAAGCTGTCAGCCCAGCTGCCTGCCTATCGCTTGTGTTTGTTTCAAAAGCATCCAAACAATTCTAAACTGCTGAGAGTGGCGTGCATTCTATAGAAAAACATCTACTGCCAACAGTTTGGAGGGCTTAGACTGCAAAAGTAAGCCTGTCAGTTTGGCTATAATGGCATTTTGTATCGTATTTTATGCTTCATGGGCTTGGCCTACAATGTAATTTGAGAAAATACAGCACACACTCTCCATGTACACTCAGAAATATTGTAATAGGCCTTTGTGTTAGGTAATACTTATAAGATGCATACAGACTATTAAGAGGAACTTAACTTGGCTCAAATATACAGGTTGTTGCCAACATATGGGTACAATTGGGACCAGATTGTTATTTGATAAGCAATGAAATAAATTATCACATGACCGTATCCAATTTTACAACTATTTTTTCTATAGTTGTTAATCTATAGAATTCATTAACTGAATCACACAGACATTAAGCAAATCTGGCTTCCCGATTGACTTTAATTGTCAGAAGCTAGCTAGGAAGCTTGCAACTTACAGTCATGTGGCTGCAAGATACTGCAACTGTCTTAATTGCGAGCTGGTTGCCAAACCCTGAATTGCAAGGACGTGACTGCAGAAGTGATATGTGATGGTCATACCTTTGAGAATAGGGGTAAGTCAGCTTCCAGGCTGTTATAACTTTGAAGTATTGTTAAACAAATGCTTGCAAGTCAAGGACTACCTGTAAACATAAACAGGTAGTTAGTGCTCAGTTAATGATCATAATTGGGACAGGAAACTCCATCCCTAAACAACATGGTCACAAAGCAAAACAAAAACAGAAAAACCACTTGACTTACAAAAACAGTTCAAGTACATTTGTTTAGCAAACCCCATATGTTAAACAGGACATCATGTGACTAATTTGCTTGTTAGAAGCTGGCAGTGATGGCTTCAAATAGTGATCATGTGACCGAGAGGTGGTATTCAGCAGGTTCTGACCAGTTCTGGAGAACCGGTAGTGGAAATTTTGAGTAGTTCGGAGAACCAGAAAATCCTACCTCTGACTGGAGATTTTACAGTATCTGCCATGCCCACCAAGCCATGCCCACAGAACCAGTAGCAAAACATTTGAATCCCACCACTGAGTGACCACAAGAAACTATAACCATCATAGTGCCCGAATTGCAATTGTGGGATACTATGATGGCCACAGCTTTGAAGACTGCATATATGTCTCCTTGTTTAGTGCCATTGTAACTTCACTGACCGAACAAGTGGTCATTCAGTGAGGACTTTTTGTATGTGATTGGGGAGTAAAGACAGCAAAAATGGCTGGTGAACAATTTCATTTTAAAAGTTTTAAAAGATCAAAGGCCAGCACATAAAATCTGTAGGAATTTTCTTTGTTTTTTTTTTTTTTTTTGACAAACTGAATACGTGAAGGAGTTGTAGCATCGCCTCAGTCCAGGGTAACAGTTTGCTAAATGATTAAAGAACCAGCAAAGTTTTATGGCCATATGCTTCATTTAATGAGTAATCTGGGGAGAACATTGAGAAGCACTTCATTTTGATTAACCAGGTACTTAGATTTGGTAGCAGACTTTGAGTAAAATATGTAGGAGGAAAATTAACATTCTGTGCTTCAGGTAGTCTTTTATTCTGTGCAATCTAATGGAACATTGGACAGAAATTATGTAAAGAAGGTTGGGACTCTGTTTGTTTGTCTGCCCAAAACAGAATAGAATTAAATCCAGTCTGATGTAGAATGAGAAGCCACAAAAAGTAAGATTGAATTATAAAATGTCCTGGATGCTGAAGAATTACCCTCCCTCCACCCCACATCAGTATATTCCCACAAGAAATTGGGTTGAGGCTCAGAATGCTACCCACGATCCATAATGGAGCTGCTAGCATTCCAGAAGCTATAATTTGGGGGCTTTCTCTACATTGTTTTTTTTCTTCTTCCAATGGTAGAAATGGTTCTGTCCAATGGTATATTAGACAGAAATTATGTGGAGAATTTCAGGAATCAGTCTGCTTGATAACCACCAGCTGATAACTCTCCAAAAACTCAGTGGAACTGGATTCTGTACAACTGGAATTTGTGCAGAAAACCCACGGATTGAGTTAATTGTTCTTTGCAAAACTTGACCGTCTCTTTTGAAAAGACATGGTTAATCATCAGCCCCTTTTCCCTTTTAAAGTTAAAAAAAGAGAGTTCTGAAATCTCTTGCTCTCAAGAAGGGAAGGGCATAAGTCTTCAGGTTACCCTCTTGCTCACTCAAAAGCACCAAAAGAAAACTGAAACCATGGGGAGAGACCAAGGTAACCAGGCTAAAGACACAAATACCAATGAAAACAAGATCCATCTTAAAAAGACAATGGGCTATTTAGAGGGAGTTAGCTTCATACTAGGCACAATTATAGGTGCAGGGATTTTTGTCTCCCCTACGGGAGTGCTCAAATATTCCTTGCTCAATGTTGGTGTATCTTTAATCATCTGGACTGCTTCTGGTATCATTTCGCTGATGGGTGCTCTCTGTTATGCAGAGCTAATCACAGCACTGCCATTTTCAGGAGGGGAGTACAGCTACATAAAAAGAGCCCTTGGCTCTCCAGTGGCTTTTATCTTTTTATGGACAGCCATGTTTAATAGACCAGCCTCGAATGCTGCTCGAGCCTTGTTGTTTGCCGAATATGCCATTCAACCTTTTTATGGTGAGTGCCCAGCTCCTGAAATGGCGAAGAAATGTTTGGCATTGGCTATTCTCTGGTTCCTTGGGATCCTCAACGGGCGAAGTGTCAAGATGGCTGCCTGGGTGCAGATCGTTTTCACCTTTCTCAAGATGATGGCTCTCTCCATGATTGCAATCGGTGGAATCATTCTGTTGATCGGAGGAAAGAAAAAGAACACAGCCAGATTTGAAAATGCTTTCAGTGCAGAGATTCCAGATGCTGTGCAGATCTCAGAAGCATTTTTCCAAGGGTTGTATGCATATGGTGGCTGGTGGTCACTCAGCTACTTGGCAGGTATGTCTTCCATTTTCTTTGTCAAATCACTTGCTGTGCTGTCAATTAAATGTTGACTACAGCTAACCCCTTGAGTTACCACTCTCTATTCAATGACCATTTGAGGTTATGCTGAACAAATTGTAGTTCTAGCTGTTCTAACGTTCCAACAGTCATGTGATTATGATCTGGGCACTTGACAGATCATATTTATGATGGTTGCAGACCCCATGATCATGTGATTGTCATTTGAAAACGTCCCCGCCAACTTCCCCAGTAAGTCAATTGGAAAGCCAGCAGGGAAAGGTTGCAAGCTGCTGAGGTAAGTCCCCTCTGCCCTTCTACTTTCCCCCAGCCACTTTATGCTCATGCCATGCCACCCTCCCTGACCTCACTTTGCCTGCCTGACACTTGCTCTACCTTCCTTATGCCCCTTCTTCAATCCTCTCCCTTTAAACAAGGATGTGTTTCTTGTTACTCCAGTCAGCTCTCAAACTGAACCCATTCTCCCATTTAACTTAAACTATTCAGAATGCGGCCCCATGTACCTGGCCATAATGAAATAAGCAGTTCATTTTCACACAGTTCTGTGAGTCTAAAATGGGCCAATTCTTATTAATCCTGATCCCGTTACATTCTTTTTGTAAATGAATTGGGAAAAATCCATGTTGCAAAGAAACAACTTTCAGTTTCATCTTTATTTCTAAGAGTGATTGTAGTATATAATTTGTATGCAGTTCTTTGACTGGAAATGTACACCTCTGCCTAAAAAAAGGGCAAAGATAAAATAGGTGGCAAAGAGCGCCTTGCTAGAGAGGATGATAGCGCTGAAGGAAATCCGTGCTGCACAGCTATCTGTATCCTCAGGGTGACACATCATTATAAGTGAGCATGCTCCATCAACCAATATGTTCACAACACATTCTCAAAATTCCAGTTCTATGTAGCCTTATGTCAGTGTCGGAGGCTAAGAGACTGGATTTTGGAGTCAATTGCTGGAGCCTGATAACTGGGATTATATATTTCTGTATGAAAAACAGATTAAAGGATTCCAGGAGATGTGAAGCTCATCCTAAGATTTGTACCTGATTACAGGTGTTGCTAGGAAGACTGAAGAAACTCATGGAATGTAAACAGGACAGGAACTGGGAGATCTTCAGGGGAGATTAGATCTAGTAGTTCTTTTCTGGCAGGGATCAATCTCAAGAATAACTCAACAAGTAGACATCAGTGCCAACATCATAAGATGCAGATTAGTTTTGTAAAATACAATGGCTGCATTAGAGGTGGTATTCAGCAGGTTCCGACCAGTTCTGGAGAACCGGTAGCGGAAATTTTGAGTAGTTTGGAGAACCGGCAAATTCCAGCTCTGACTGGAGATTTTACAGTATCCTTCCCCTGCCACGCCCACCAAGCCACACCCAAAGAACCGGTAGTAAAAAAAAATTGAATCCCCCTAGGTATTGTGGATTGTATTTTAACTTTTGTTGACTGCTTTGAATTGACTAGGTCGAGCTAGCCAAAAAGTCTAATACATCAATAATAGAATAGAAATGCTCTGCATGAGAAACGATTTACATTTTTAAATTTGTTTCTTCATTTATTTCCTGTCCTGTCCTGTCCTGTCTTGTCCTGTTCAAGACAAAGCAGTGATAAATTATTAATTATGATATTTGATTTGAAATCAAATTTAAACCACTACAACAAAAACGGTGATGACTAAAAGTAGTAAATTTGGGGGCATTGATCACTGCTTCTTATTCGCAGCATTTCAGAGTCCATGAATCTGATTTTTTTTTCTGTATTGTTTCCAAATTGCTTTTAATAACCTGACCAATGGAAATGGAAAAAGCAGGAAACCTTTTTTGTTTGAGAAAAATTGAAGAAAAAATGTTTTTAGTAAATCATTGGGATTGTATATTTTTTTGCTGTATGAATAGATATGTTCGAGTAATGTCTATTTTATGTCTTGCAGAGGAGATTAAAAATCCAAGCAGAAACATTCTTTGGACTGTGGTGACTGCACTTCCTTTAGTCATTATTTTCTATTTGCTGGTTAACATTTCATATCTGACAGTTCTCACACCACAGGAAATTGTTTCCTCAGGTATGGCTGGGGAGTGTGTATTTTTAATTCACAAACGGTAATTATATCACCTATAATAGATATAACAAAGAATTCCCTGGATAAGCTGAGATGAATCACAGACTATTTATCCATTTGCAGTAAATTGTGGCACAAATATTCTGACTGCCTCTGTAGGATACCAATTTCAATGCATCTCCAATCCACAAGACTGGCTTAAATTGTTCTTGGCTAAAAACACAGTGCAACAACAGTTGTTGCAAAGCTGTCCATCTGTTCCAATGGAGGTAAAATAAGATGACCAGTTGATGGTGAAAGCATAGGGGTGTTTATTAAGCACTTTCAGGCATTGGGGGGGGGGGCATACCTCCTCTCCTACAGTCTCGGTCAGGCTGGCCTGCCACCATTCTACTAGTATCTTCCTGTGGAGCTGTGTTGTGTAGAACAGTGTTATGGAGGCCCTTGATATTTCAGCAAGAAAGGAAGAGGGATGTTTTTAGCACTGGAGTTCCTTTTGTTTTGTATTGCCAATCTGCACACCAGGGTATTTGGTTGTCACCATTTTGCACCCTCAGTTAAATGATGCATCCTCAGTTAAACTTGAAGGGTGGTCTTTCAGAATTGCACTGTAGCACTAAATTATTCAGCCAGCAGTGTTGCAAATGTTTTGATTGCCTTCACTTCTCCACTGTATGGCTCAAACAACCAAATGTTGACAAGACTTCATTCCTTTGTTTTCCAAATATAACAGAGGAATTGGGGAGTTGGCATTTGTTATTTGTCTGTCTGTCCGTCTGTCTGTCTCTCATCTATTGGAATGATTAGACTGATATATTCTATGTAGAACTGCTGGTTATAGTCTCTTGGACTCCCTTAATGATTCCAATCTGTTTTTCTTTTACCTTGATTTATTACATGGAATTTTATGAAAGGAATTGAAAAGGACTCAGGAAGGAGTCTAGAGATTAATCCATACTCCTCCTTCCTACTGTGATGTGTGTGTGTGTGTGTGTGTGTGTGATTGACAGATGCTTTTCCCACTTACTGTAATTATGTTGAGGAGGGAGGGCAGCAAAGCCAAAGGATTAAACTAATTGCTTTGAATGTTTGATAGAGCGACAGAAGACAGGGATTGGTAATGTGCTCAGCAAATTTCATGCCTGTAATAACGTATAAAAATTATTTGTGTTTTATGAAAGATGTAATTGGTCCAGTTGAAGGCTTTATAAAACAGCTCTAAGCATTTAGTTTCTATTTTCTCTGCAATATATACATTGCATCTTTGCAATTGGATCTTGCAGTTCCACCATTCTGTTTGTCATCCTATTCCGTTGTCATCATGACTTGAATTATACAGAATTCTAGCAGATGCTTTCTCCAGGACAACCTCAAATAGAAATTCTGTAATGAAAGTTTCCCACAAGCCACTTTAGGATTTTGAGTGAACACAAAGTTTCATACAAGTCTTTTTTGTTGACAACACTGTAGAAGTATTTTGCCATTGCTGATTTTTTAAAATGGATTTTTAAAAAAAGTCAGTCTAATGACCAGACATGAGAATACCTGGTGGTTTCCCTTCCAGTCAAATTACCTAATGTTGGTTACCTACTGCAGGTACCACTTTCTTTGAGCTACGAAAGGGTAAAGGATCACTGAGCTTTATTCAGCCTTGCAACTCCAAACAAGGTTGCTTCAGTACTCTGGAGCCAAATCTTGTTTGTTCTCCAAAGTTCACTAAAACATTAAGGTTCATTAACATAAGAAGCCATGTGTGACATATTAAGGAAAGCTGTTTAGCCTTTACACATAATCTGTTAACAATGCTGATATTTCCTTTCAGTTGTTGTAGCAGTCAGGTGGGCTGAGAGAGTGATCCCTTCATCTGCTTGGATAATTCCTGCATCTGTGGCTATTTCTATATTTGGTGCCCTCAATGGCAGCGTATTCACTCTTGGACGGTTGAGCTACTCCGCCAGTCAGTCTGGACAGTTGCCCATTATAGTATCCATGCTTAATATCCACCATTCTACTCCAGCACCAGCCATGATTTTGTCCACCCTCATTGCAACTGCGTTCCTCATTTCATCAGATCTAATTTCTTTAATGAATTATTTTGGATTCTCCATTTGGCTTATGACTGGACTAACATGCACTAGCGTCATTGTCCTCCGATATCGAGAGCCTGATCTACACAGGCCATACAAGGTACATAGAAAGCAATGGAAATGTGTAATTAAATGTTTAACTTGCATCCTGTTAGATCTGTAGTGTTTGGGTCTGGTAATCTTTGAAGGATGAGTTGGTCTCCGTAAGCAAGCCCAATGCCAATTTTACCAGTGGAATAGATAAACAAAGGAAGCTGCTTTATACTGAATGAGATCACACAATCATCTAATCCAAGCAGTGTTTATTTTGATTTATTTTGATTACAAGTCCCCAGTTTCTCCAAATTTTCCATTCCCCCATTCTGAGAAGCACATCCAACTTTGCTCTGCTGTGTTTGTACAATGAATACATTCTGTTTAGAGAATGTAGAAGAAAAACATCACAGCCAATGCTGATTTGCATTCATGAAATTTATCTTTTTTAAAAAATAGCTTAACAGCTCGGTACTATAGATAGGGGCCATATGCGAGATTGAGTGAATTCAGGCAAATTATTGTAAGATGATTGCTTAAGCCTCACATTTAAAGAAAGTGTCTCCAGAGTTATTTATGTATTTCCTAGTGACCATCAGCTGATTCTATGTACTCAGAAAATCCATAAGAATTTGTTGTCTAATGCAGTTCTGGCAAAATTATGCCTAAACTTCATGTCCATGTATAAAATGTTCTTTTTTTCATTTATTTATTTCTTGTTCATCTATTTAACACCTGTTGTCTTAACTCTGTGTTTATATTTTACAGGTTTGTTTACCAGTTGCCTTTGGAATGGTGGCCATTTCCTTGTTCTTAGTTTTGGTTCCTATAATTTGGTCCCCGAAAGTACAGTATTTATATGTTTTCCTTTTCATGGTTGGTGGTTTTCTTTTATACCTGCCCTTTATACATTTTCGAATACATTTTGAGTGGCTTGATAACATTACTTGCTATCTGCAGCTGCTGCTTGAGGTTTCGCCTGCTAATTATAAACCTGAGTAATGCCAGAATAAAATGTTGCTTGTATACCACCACAGCAACAGCTTCTGATATTTCCCATGTTGCTTTTTTTAAAAAAATATGCATGTTGGTGAAATATATGTAGTTATGCACATACACACGAATGGCTGTTTCATCAAAAGATCCTGACTGAATAAACCCTATAGCTCAGTGTTTTCAACCTTGGCAGTATTAAGATGCGTGAACTTCAACTTCCAGTATGCTGGCTGGGGAATTCAGGGAATTGAAGTCCACACATTTTAAACTTGCCGAAGATGAAAAATACTGCTATAGTTTTTTCCCAAATCCTCTGAAAAACCTTATTGGAGTCTGGGAGACTTAGGTGGTATTCAGCAGGTTCTGACCAGTTCTGGAGAACCGGTAGCGTAAATTTTGAGTAGTTCAGAGTACTGGTAAACACCACCTCTGACTGGCCCCATCCCCATCTATTCTCTGCCTCCCAAGTCCCAGCTGATTGGCTGGGTCTTCTTTTGTTGCCCTGCATAGGAGAACAGAGCTGGAAATCAGGTTAGTGAGGTGGGGAGGCAATGGAGATTTTACAATATCCTTCCCCTGCCATGCCCACCAAGCCATGCCCACAGAATCGGTAGTAAAAAATTTTTGAATCCCACCACTGATGCAGTGGAAGACTCAAAAAAATCTCCACGTGAGCAGTAGTCTGGCTCTTCTGACACCTCCCAGTTAAACAAGTCACTTGAAAAAGTGTGTGTATGTAATATCTTTAAAATGCGTATACATTAATCACAGTTAAATCAGGTACCATGGGAGAAAAAGAATTCCCATTTTTTCTTTAACTACTTGTATGAAGAAGAACTTGGTAAAACTTGAGTCTGGGAATGGGGCTGGGGGCTTAGGAGCAGGGTCCTCCTTAGTCTGTAAATGTGTTTTTATTTTTTAATTTAAACTGCTTTTAATTTAAACTCCTAACAAGTGGCCTTTTTGAGCATAATTTCATTGTTGTGCAATTTTCAGCATTGTGTCTTTTTCCTCCACTCAGTGGTAGAAATTGTTCACAGTCACCCCTTTAGTTCAAAACAGATGGGGTGAGAAGACCCACCCCTCAGGTGGAGCTAAGGCCAAGGTGATAAAGCTTCCGTTTGGAAGCTTGCTCTTCATCAGTGCTACCAAATAGCACTGCTACTTTCTTGCTTACATTTCCATTCTTCTAATTTGGCTACACTTACCACACCTCTTTATTGAGCGCTACTGGATGAAACTACCATCTGTGCTCCACTTTTTTCAATTATCTGTCTGCCATACCAGGTTCTCTTAATCCAGTGGAAGACTGGCTGAGATAGGAGGGCAACTCACTATGTCCTCAGAGAGCATTGAAAGTGAGACACAGGAAGAAGAGGAGGACCAGACATGGTAGGCATACATCAATATCAGCTTTAAGCATTCCATAAATAACCAGTTGATTCTACCTACTCTGGCTCATGAGTTTCCCTCTCCCAATAGCACATCAGATTTTTTTTATACTGCTGCTAAATGTTATTGGATTAAGAGGAGAAATTTTATTTTTTTTATCCCAACTTTACTATTTTATAAGTAACTCAACACAGGGAACTTATACAATACTCCTTCCTCCTCCTATTTTTTTCCCATAACAACAATCCTGTGAATCTCACTGGCCCATTGTCACCCAGCTGGCTTTCACGCCTAAAATGGACTAGAACTGGCAATCTCTTGGTTTCTAGGTCAGCACCCTAACAACTACACCACACCAGCTCTTTATTGCTACTTTAACAACACTAAAGCTACGTTGGCAGAAGCTATCTACTCACAGGTTGAAGATATGATTAAGATAATTTCATGATGATCCATCAGGAAAAAAATTCGCTGTTTGGACATATTTGTAACCATGATGAGATGTAAGAAGAAAAAGGCCCCAAAACCAATAGGGTAACTATTTTACAAAGGTTTGCAATGCTGTTTGCAATTCTTGTAATTATTCAGATTGGTTTCACTGCCTGTAGATCTGACAACCCCACTGTCAATGTAAAGGGCATTGTTTTCTTATGTAATTCAGTATGGTGACTGAAAGAAAATGTGCTTGTTTGTGAGACAAATTGCAGCCATAGTTATTTGCAATTTAATAGTCTGTTCTAAAAGCCAGCAGTCCCTTGTTGGCTAATATACAAAGGAGAAATTAGAATTTCATTTAAAAAATTTTTAATTTTTGGAGCCAAGAAAGAAAGATTTCAAAGCTGCAACCTTCCTAGTAATGCTGGATATAAGCATAATTATTATTGTTCAGGCTTTTCAAAGGTTAGGATTTGTTACCTAGTATAGATAATAGTTGTCAATCCTCTTTTCCTCAAAATCTTTGGTGGGAAATTTAACGCTGATTCTACACTGAATTTGCCATTTGGAACATATGTACCCACTATCTAAAGAAACACATAACTGGTAGAAAAAAAGGAAGTTTTTTATCATCCTCATCTCCATATTGGACAGAATCTAAGATTAGGCACATGAAGTCCTTTCCATTGTGATGCTTTCCAGATATACTTAGTCAACAATATCCAGAAACCTTGTTAGGGTGGCTGATCAGAAATTTTGGAAATTGAAGTTCTAAAATATCTGGAGAATGGCAGTTTGGGAAGCTGCTTTAAACAATGGGTGGATGTCATCAGACACAGATGTGACACCATTAAAAGGAAAACTTCTTTCAGATGCCAATGAATGAATATCCTAGTCTTGGGAAGACACAAATAATTTAACCATGTAAAAAGGAGCCATGTAGCTTCCAATTTTGCTGAACTATATCTCCCAGCATTCCTTACCACTGATCAGGATTAGTTGGAAGTTAATCATCAACCTGAGAATCACTGTAGCCAAGAAGGTGTAAGAAGCAGCTGTTCTTATAAGTCTCCAATCTTGTAATTCCTGTCCAGTCCTAGTGAAAAAGGAAAGAAAATTCAAGCGCTAGAGATCCTTGATTAGAATTACAGGATCAGAAGGTCCCATTTCAGCCATCAAGTCCCAAACCCTTTGTTAAATGCAGAAATGAAAACATTATCAATAGAGACAGTAGCTGTGCAATCTGTGCTTAAACAGATCCAATGAAGGTGAATAATTGGTTCCATTGTCAAACGGTTCTTTTTTTCTTAGGAAGTGCTGGTTGCTCCATCACGAGAAGTTTTTAAGGATAGATTGAAAACCACTTGCTTGAAATGATATAGAGCAGGGATGTCAAACTTGTGCCACCCCCACCTGTTTTAGTGAAGGGAAAAAAATTGTGATATGTCATGTGACAACATGATGTCACCAGTTTAACACCTCTGGTATAGAGCCTCCTGCATGAATGAGAAAGGTGGGTTTGAATAGAAGACCTCCAAGATGGCTTCCAACTAACTCTATTCTGTAAATTTTCCTAACATTTCTAACAATCTGTCTTCCTGCAACTTAAACCTATTATCTGTGTTCTGGAGTCTAGTAAAATAGAAAACAAAATTGATCTTAGCTTGTGAGACTTGCTCAAAGCTCTCAACATACAATGGGCTTTTAACAGTTACAACTGTTACAACTGATAAGGTACCTGTAATCTGTTTCACTTTTAACCTGCATGTGAATAACCAACCTGTGTTCCCTTTCCTTTTCTTTAGCTGCATCCCTAATTAAATCCTAATTAAATTGATATGTAGCTACTCCATGCATCTGACAAAGTGAACTGCAGCTCATGAAAACATATGCCTTTTAAGAACATCTGCTAATTAGAAAAGGTGCTACCAAACCCTTCATGATTTTTTTCCAGCATAGAATAATATGCCTTTTTTATAATGGCCTCAAAGATAACAGGGGGACTGTGCATCTGACAATCAGTTATGGCTGGAACTCACATAATGCCTGAAGTGCTAACATTTGTGTAGGAGGAGCAAGGGGGAGCAAATTCTTTATTACAGACAATTGGTCAGACCAGCTGTCTTATTGGTAGTTCATATATTGCCCTAGAATAACATTTTTACACAGTTTTATGAGTGATATGCCAAGGAAAAGTGGAATTTCACATCAACATGACATTATTAGGCATCGCGCAGTGCCAGACAATGTAGTTGAATAACGAGCCATCTTTGGAGTTTTTTTTTGAAAGCAACTATGAGAAAAGTCAGTGGTGACCAATATAGTGTCCAGGTCCTTGTCACATGGTAGGGTAATTAATAAAATTTAAAGAAACTTGAGTCCCTCAAGACTCTTGGTGAAGGAAGAAAGTGCAACATACTGGCCAGTCTGGTGATTAAAGGCTTAATATGGCAGCAGGAAATCACCAAAAGCAGGTTTTAAATATATATTTTAAATAGCCAACTGGGTGACAGTCATGACTGAACCAGGTAAAGGCAGTTCTGGAATAAGAAATGTATAGTCAGCCAATATAGCACAATTTATAGGAACCAGGCTGAGCCTGAGAGAAGGGTCAAATGCCCATTTGTCTCATTCAAGAGTCCCATTCAAGAGAATTTATAGGTAGATAAGGTGGTTTGAACCCCTAATATGGTAGGTTTTGACTGTATTGAAGGTCAACTAGACACTACCCTGAGCAAGGCTTATTGAAATGTTGGAGCAATTAAACTTCCAGAATATATTAAATGGAAAATCAATTAAAGAAAAAAACAACTAGATTCACATACTGCACTGAACCAATCCAATAGAACATTGATTCCAGGTTAGTGCAATTACTAGCAAAAAAAGAGTATTGAATAGATTCTGTTTCTCTATACAATTAGTTAACTTAGATGTCCAGTGCTTGCTCTGGAAGAAGTTTCTCCAGGCAGCATCAGCTGAGTCTGGGAAATGATCTTTGATTTGACTTTTTTTCTCCAGTACTCAAGAATGTTGCAATATCAAACATAACACCTTCTTAGCTGCTGCTATCAGCAGTCCACAGATGGATGATTCTGTTTTACTTCTGCAACATTTAGAAATAATCTATTACAGCTCAATAAGACATTTGTAAGTTAACATCAGATAAAGCACCAAGTCTC